ACTTGTGTTTTGAACCACCTCCTTTCAGCACATATTGAGTTCAGAAGTCAGGCTCTGAATTCTGTAACACAGCAGTGCCTACTCAAGGGCATAGTAAAAATAGTGTCACAGAACTTAAGTAAATAAATGTGTTGAGGATCTTCCTTAAATAAGTTTGCAAACTTCAAGATTGTTCAAATAGGAGTAGGCTAGAAATAGTTGAAATACAATGTGGAAATTAACATAGCAATAGGTTCTTAAAGTGGAGGTAGTAAGAACCATCTTAATTTGTTACATGTATCAATGGGAATACCAAAACTGGTGCAAATGCTTGCCTGAATTAGGCGCAGGAACTTTTAAAGGGAACTACTACCAGAAAATTGTCAAATGCTATATTGAATTCCCCTGTGAATATGTTCATTCAGGCTCAGGAATTGCACTAGAAATGTCCCAGGCCTGTAATTGTTCCCTCTCACCAGGGAGACTTTGTGGCTTCTGTGGACATCAAGGGCACATATCTAAACTGTCCTCATTATTCCAGGTGTTCACCAAGGTGCTAGCCCAAGTATTAGCCCTACTGCACTCTCACAGCATCCCAATTGTGGGATACCTGAGGGAACAGTCAGTGCAGGTTTGTCGGATATGACAGACTGTCCAGACATTAAAATGCTTTAGATAGATCCTCAACCTTCGATAGAAGTACCTTCAAGCTCCAGTCTTACATCTGAGATCTCCAGTCCAGTAGTTGTCTGAACCACATTTTACACGAGTCTTGGACATGATGGTAGCCTCCTTCAAGGCAGTTTTCTTTTGCCCAATTTCACTCTAGACCTCTACAGTGTAACATTCTGCAACCATAAAACAAGTCAGTCAAGTCCAACAGACATATTCATTTGGCATAGAGGACCAGGTTGCCAGAATAGATGCCAGACAGTTGGGCTGAGGAGGAGTCCTGGGCACCATGTTGGTGCAGGAGACTTTGTGATTGGAGGAGTATAATCTTCCAGTCAACATTCTGAGTTTCCGATGACTGGGCTGTCTTTGCAGCATTGTGCCATCCTGCTTGAAGGTTATCTAATTCAGATTCAGTCGGACAATGCCACACTGGTGGCATACATCAACCAACAGGGAGGAACCATAAGTCTTATTGCAGCAAGAAAGGTAGAACTGTGTTCATGTACAGCCCAGGCATAGAAAACAGAAAGGCAAACGTCCTCAGCTGAGAAAGCATAGACCTGGGGCAGTGATCCCTACACCCATAAGTGTTTCAGGATCTGTGTTACCAGATGTGGACCTCCTGGCATACAGCTCCAGATACCGTGAGCCTTCTAGTAGAAGCAATGAATTGCTTTGGTGACTCCATGGCATCAATTCACCCCGATTCATGCTTTTCCTTCCCTGAAGCTTCTTCCTCGTCCGCTTCACAGGATTGAGATGGAGAGCATTCCAATGATCCCTCATTGTTCCAGAATGACCCAGGCAGCTGTGGTAAGTCGGCCTAGTAAGATTCCTGATGTCTCTGGGCTTTGCAAGACTGTCAAGATATTCTGTTTCTAGGACAAATTTGCCATCTTGCTTCATGATCTCTGCCTTTAATGTCCCCCCAGGTTTTGAGAAACAGGTCACCTCTGAATTTTTGATTCCTAAAATGCTAGGTGTGAGTTATGGAGCTTCCACTTTAGGAGTTTCTCAATGGGATAAATGTTCTGCGAGTCTGGACCAACATTTGGCTGCCAACACTATTAAAAATCTTCTGCTCTATCTTGTTTCAGAGACCATTTTGCTCCTTATTACTTACAGGGAGTCTCCCATGTAGCTCTCTGTTCCCATGTGGAATCTTACACTGTTTAATGGGTTTAAAAGGCCTTTTCTTAGGAGCAGAGATAAAGATATTTGCTCTGTACTTTCACTTAAAAGGTGGCATTCCTTGTAGACATAACATCAGGCTTGTGTCTGTACTGGTAGCTTTATTCTGCAAGGAACCCTTTATGGTTTTGCAGAAGGACAAGGTGGTTGAAGCCTAGGACATTCTTGGTAATTTCTGCTTTATAAACCATAAAAATGCTGCGCTACATTCAAACTAATTAAAGTGAATGTGGAATTCAATATCTCAAATAAATAGCAATAATGAAAAATATAATAAGAAATGTTGCTTAGTGATAACACAAAAAATGATGGCAAAACACAAACTTAAATCAATACGCATGTGCCAGAAAAATCACATACATATATTAATATAATAATTTCTGCTTTGCACCTCAAAAGTCGTTGTTCTTCCATCCCTCTGTCCAGCTCACCAAAAAGAAATTTTAGTTTATGGTCTGGATGTAAGAGTATATGGGGTTGATTTACTAAAAGTAAATAGGTTCTTCACTTTGCAAGGGAATTTTCCCCAGAGTTTAATGAATGTAGCAAATCTTCACTTAGTAAAGAATACCCAATCATGTACAAGGGGGAAAGAAAAAAAAAAAAAAAAAAAAAAAAAAAAAAAAAAAAACAGCATTTTGATTGGCTGATAGAAGTCAGCAGACCTTTATCTCATTCACTAAACTCTGGGGGAAAATTCCATTGAAAAGTACAAAATCCCATGCAAAGTAAATAGTCTTTTTGCCTTTAGTAAATCAGCCACTGCTTCTTTTGGAAAGACTGATTACCATTTTTTCATCCGGGATGGTCCCTGTAAGGAACTATCAAATTCCCATTCCACCAGTAGGTAGCTCAAACAGACCATTATTCAAGCTTATAGTTTCAAGGATCAGATTCCACACTTTCCTGTAAAAGCAAACTCTACTAGATCTGTGAGTGCTTCTTAGAGTTCCTAGATTTTCAAGGTTGGTCTTCTGTTCACGTTTTCTAAGTGTGAACAGAGAAGTCCCCAGTTGTTTCCACTGGGCCTATTAGCATTCATTCTGTGTGTTGTCCACCCCTCAGTTGGACTTCCTTTGGACATCTCTAATGTAAATTACGTTCCGTGTCCCTCAATATTTTGAACATTTTTGTTTCACCATTGGGTGACACAGGTCCCACCCCTCTGTGTTTATGATCATGCTCTCAGTACGGTTTGCTGTAAAACTGATGCATGGTGGTAGTAGGATGGGTTATCCTGGGCTGGCCTACATTTTTTTTTGTGCTTTGTCAGCGTGCAATCCTCCTGTAGACCGTAGTAAAACCTGAAGGCAAAAGGCTTCCTATGCCCCTCAGTAGACTACAGGAAAATTAGAACATTGTTCAGTTTATATATTCCCATTGTAAATGTCCACTTGCAACGTCTCAGCCATTGAAATTAAAATTGGAGATATGACTGAACTCACAGATTATACAGTCAGGTCCATAAATATTGGGACATTGACACACAATTCTAACATTTTTGGCTCTATACACCACCACAATGGATTTGAAATGAAACAAACAAGATGTGCTTTAACTGCAGACTGTCAGCTTTAATTTGAGGGTATTTACATCCAAATCAGGTGAACGGTGTAGGAATTACAACAGTTTGCATATGTGCCTCTCACTTGTTAAGGGACCAAAAGTAATGGGACAATTGGCTTCTCAGCTGTTCCATGGCCAGGTGTGTGTTATTCCCTCATTATCCCAATTACAATGAGCAGATAAAAGGTCCAGAGTTCATTTCAAGTGTGCTATTTGCATTTGGAAACTGTTGCGGTCAACTCTTAAGATGAGATCCAAAGAGCTGTCACTATCAGTGAAGCAAGCCATCATTAGGCTGAAAAAACAAAACAAACCCATCAGAGAGATAGCAAAACCATTAGGCGTGGCCAAAACAACTGTTTGGAACATTCTTAAAAAGAAGGAACGCACCAGTGAGCTCAGCAACACCAAAAGACCCAGAAGACCACGGAAAACAACTGTGGTGGATGAGCGAAGAATTTATTTCCCTGGTGAAGAAAACACCCTTCACAACAGTTGGCCAGATCAAGAACACTCTCCAGGAGGTAGGTGTATGTGTGTCAAAGTCAACAATCAAGAGAAGACTTCACCAGAGTGAATACAGAGGGTTCACCACAAGATGTAAACCATTGGTGAGCCTCAAAAACAGGAAGGCCAGATTAGAGTTTGCCAAACGACATCTAAAAAAGCCTTCACAGTTCTGGAACAACATCCTATGGACAGATGAGACCAAGATCAACTTGTACCAGAGTGATAGGAAGAGAAGAGTATGGAGAAGGAAAGGAACTGCTCATGATCCTAAGCATACCATCTCATCAGTGAAGCATGGTAGTGTCATGGCGTGGGCATGTATGGCTGCCAATGGAACTGGTTCTCTTGTATTTATTGATGATGTGACTGCTGACAAAAGCAGCAGGATGAATTCTGAAGTGTTTCGGGCAATATTATCTGCTCATATTCAGCCAAATGCTTCAGAACTCATTGGACGCCGCTTCACAGTGCAGATGGACAATGACCCAAAGCATACTGCAAAAGCAACCAAAGAGTTTAAGGGAAAGAAGTGGAATGTTATGCAATGGCCAAGTCAATCACCTGACCTGAATCCGATTGAGCATGCATTTCACTTGCTAAAGACAAAACTGAAGGGAAAATGCCCCAAGAACAAGCAGGAACTGAAGACAGTTGCAGTAGAGGCCTGGCACAGCATCACCAGGGATGAAACCCAGCATCTGGTGATGTCTATGCTTTCCAGACTTCAGGCTGTAATTGACTGCAAAGGATTTGCAACCAAGTATTAAAAAGTGAAAGTTTGATTTATGATTATTATTCTGTCCCATTACTTTTGGTCCCTTAACAAGTGGGAGGCACATATGCAAACTGTTGTAATTCCTACACCGTTCACCTGATTTGGATGTAAATACCCTCAAATTAAAGCTGACAGTCTGCAGTTAAAGCACATCTTGTTCATTTCATTTTGAATCCATTGTGGTGGTGTATAGAGCCAAAAATGTTAGAATTGTGTTGATGTCCCAATATTTATGGACCTGACTGTATGTCCTAAAGACCTGCTTATTAGTAACTAGACACACATCAAATGCCCTACTTCTTACCTGATCCAGAATTCCTGTCATTGAATAGCTGTGTCTGGCTGTTTGGAAATATCTTCAGCTCTATGCTGTCTGGAGACTGAGCACTGGTGTGTGAATGTGAGGTCCGCAGAGCATTGAGATATTGAAGCCGAGTGACCTGGATCAAGAACAAAGACAATAAAAAAAACAAAGAAAGTGCTCATGAAATAAAGAGGAAAGAGTTATTAGATACTGGATGTCCCTATATAGCAAAGTAACATTTCTGTGCTGCCCAGAACCCACTGAATCAAAATGCTTTGAAGTCATATGGAATGCAGATTAAAGTTTGTGGCCCAGATTTCTCCATTTACAAGGAACAGTTGTATGAACAGACCCACATTAATGTTTCTGGTTCCTTAACCTGAAAAGCTGGAAACGGGTTAGGCCAAATTACATTATATGGTTGTACATAATACACAGTCAAAACATTTATAAAAAAATAAATGAAATAAACTGGAAATGTTGGTCTTCGCAAATACGAAGATGTAAAACTGAACCTGGCATCCGTTAAAGTATCCTTCCATGAAAGTAATCCTAGGCAGCTAAACATTACAGCTGTACAAACACATATGCTTGTTATAGATGTTCAAGTAAGAAATCACACATATACCTTGACTAGCTGTAGATCAGACAATGCTTTCACAGAGTAGTCAGGACAGTAAAAACCAGAGTCTGGAGAATCACTGTGCTCATGGCCACTGGATGGAGAGTTAGGACCTAAAATGTGGATAATGGAAAGTCAGCCTAAATATGAAAGACACATTTAGAATTAAGTAGCGCCAAGCCAGCATTGGACCCCTTATGTGCTGCTCTCACTTAAAAGGCACGGACTCAATGCAGCAACTCCGTAATAAGTAAATGCTCCATTCTCAAACTTTAGACATTCCTTCCCAATTTCTACCAGCACTTTTCCCTGGGAAACAAAGAGAAAATTAGTACAGTGAACTGAAGAATAAAGCTTAATGAATGCCAACGCCATTTCTCACTTGTATTCACCTGTAGAATAAGTATGAAATAGTCCACAGGTTGGCTGCGCAGGTACAAATAGTGTTCAGGAGCAAACCGTTCACTGTCATCAAATTTCACTTCATGTGTGACTCCTGGGAGTTTCAGCAAGTGCAAAAGAGCCTTCTCTGACATCCGAGTGGCACTGAAAAGCTCCACTTCTGCCAAGTGAACACAGAAAAACATGTTATAAAAATATATGTATCTGAGCAATAGGATTTCAGTTTGTTTTAATTGCATTGCACAAATTATAGATCACTTTAAAAAGGTGGGAAAATTCAGAAGTGATTTATCTTGGGCTTGTTTTTTTTTTTTACATCTCAAAAACCTGGCATTTATGCAGGTGTAGTGTTGCTTTTTTATATCCACTGTACATTGTTTTGTACACCACACACATTCTGTATGCTTTTTCAGTGAAAGGGGATTGTAGACATATTACTGCTCTTGGACCTTAGTAGAAGGGGTATATCCCAAAACATGAAAAAAAGTTACACTTTCAGACCAAATAGAAAAGTATCAGACAGTACTCAACTGTGTCACTGAAAGGGCAAATTCCTTTACAACCCAATGCATGAACATACACATGCAATTCATGGGTAGTGGTTTTACATGCTGTACCATTCATTGCTATTGAAGGGAGCCTTTTTTAAAAAATAAAATGGCAACATTTTAAATGGAAATAAAACTGAAAAAAATTGTACAGAACTCTCCATGGTGTTCATATGTAGGGAATGTAAAAGACACAAAGGAGTTAACAGGATCCAAGACTAATGGCAGAAGGACTCAATGCAAGGCAAAAAAGGGACCAACTTCTAGGCCTCTGATCCAGACAAAATATAACTGATATATAATTGGTATAGACCAGCAATGGGCAAACTACGGCCCGCAGGCCGTATACGGCCCGGCGGACCTTTAAATCCGGCCCGCGGAGCGTGATAAAAAAAAAAACAGCCAGGGCAGGCAAACATTGGCTGTCAGGATGTGTGTAGGCGGGGCAGCGTGACGAACGTGAAGGGAGCTAGGCTCCTCTCACAGTCCGCCCTGAAGACTGGAACGGCGCGGGAACACGGCGAGAGGAACGCGCGGAGCAAAGGTAAGTGAATTGACACAGGGGGGACTTGGCTTACTACTTGGGGGGGAATAGTACTGTGGGGGATGAATTACTATCTACTCTTGGTCCAGCCCCCGGGTCAAATATATGAACCCATTGCGGCCCTCAAGTCAAAAAGTTTGCCCACCCCTGGTATAGACCCAAGTAGCAAGAACATTCACCTTCCTCTTTTTCAAGCACAGCATGAGTTCACAACAATGGAGTATAGCCCCCCTCCTGCTGAATCTGTACTTTCAAGGGATGCCATTTTATGCAAAATATTCATAATTAGGGGCGGACTGACCATTTGGAAACTCAGGCACTGCCTGAGGGCCCAGAGTCAGTAGGGGCCCCATGAGATGCCCCTGGTACCTTTTTCATAGCCTTTTTTGAGTTTGGGCAAGGACACAGGGGCCCCATGATCCCCTATTGCCCGGGGGCCCCATGAGTTGTCAGTCCGCCCTTGTTCATAATAGCGCACATAAATAGATCCTTTAGTAAAAAATACAAAAAGTACAAATTAAATAAATATCTGTCCTGGTCTATGTCCTAGAGAGGACAAAACAACTAAATTTTAGATACCGTATATACTCGAGTATAAGCAGAGTTTTTCAGCACATTTTTTGTGCTGAAAAACAGCCCCCTCGGCTTATACTCGAGTCAACGTCTGCAGGGGGCTGCTGTCTCTTACCTGGCTCCGGTCCCACGACGATCCGGTCCAGGAAGCGCGGCTGCTCCTTCATTCGGTTCGTCCACTGGATGTTCGCGTGGCTGCTCGGCTCCACCTTCTCACCGGTGATTGGCCGCCAGAACTGTAGCTCAGGAAAGGCACACAGGCAGCCAATCACCGGCGAGGAGGCGGAGCTGAGCGGCCCCGCGAAAATCGAGTGAAGGAGATGCAGGTAAGTGTGCCGTGCTTAGGTGCTGCTGCAACCACATATGCTGGCTGCAGCAGCACCATACTGGAACAGGGGTCAGCAAGTGTCAGTGGGAGGAATAGTGCCCCATCATTGGTGTCACTGATACCAATGTTGGGGCATTATTCCTCCCACTGACACCAACGATGGGGCACTTTTCCTCCCCCCCCCCCCCCCGACACCAATGATGGGGCATTATTCCACCCCCCACTGACACCAATCATGGAGCACTATTCCACCCCCCACTGACACCAATGATGGGGCATTATTCCACCCCCCCCACTGACACCAATGATGGGGCATTATTCCACCCCCCACTGACACCAATATTGGAGCACTATTCCACCCCCCACTGACACCAATGATGGGATACTATTCCTCCCACTGACACCAATGTTGGGACACTATTCCTCCCACTGACACCAATGTTGGGACACACTATTCCTCCCATGACACCAATGTTGGGACACTATTCCTCCCACTGACACCAATGTTGGGGACGCTATTCCTCCCACTGACACCAATGATGGGACGCTATTCCTCCCACTGACACCAATGATGGGGCGCTATTCCTCCCACTGACACCAATGATGGGGCGCTATTCCTCCCACTGATACCAATGATGGGGCGCTATTCCTCCCACTGACACCAATGATGGGGCGCTATTCCTCCCACTGACACCAATGATGGGGCGCTATTCCTCCCACTGACACCAATGATGGGGCGCTATTCCTCCCACTGACACCAATGATGGGGCGCTATTCCTCCCACTGACACCAATGATGGGGCGCTATTCCTCCCACTGACACCAATGATGGGGCGCTATTCCTCCCACTGACACCAATGATGGGGCGCTATTCCTCCCACTGACACCAATGATGGGGCGCTATTCCTCCCACTGACACCAATGATGGGGCGCTATTCCTCCCACTGACACCAATGATGGGGCGCTATTCCTCCCACTGACACCAATGATGGGGCGCTATTCCTCCCACTGACACCAATGATGGGGCGCTATTCCTCCCACTGACACACCAATGATGGGGCGCTATTCCTCCCACTGACACCAATGATGGGGCGCTATTCCTCCCACTGACACCAATGATGGGGCGCTATTCCTCCCACTGACACCAATGATGGGGCGCTATTCCTCCCACTGACACCAATGATGGGGCGCTATTTCCTCCCACTGACACCAATGATGGGGCGCTATCCTCCCACTGACACCAATGATGGGGCGCTATTCCTCCACTGACACCAATGATGGGGCGCTATTCCTCCCACTGACACCAATGATGGGGCGCTATTCCTCCCACTGACACCAATGATGGGGCGCTATTCCTCCCACTGACACCAATGATGGGGCGCTATTCCTCCCACTGACACCAATGATGGGGCGCTATTCCTCCCCACTGACACCAATGATGGGGCGCTATTCCTCCCACTGACACCAATGATGGGGCGCTATTCCTCCCACTGACACCAATGATGGGGCGCTATTCCTCCCACTGACACCAATGATGGGGCGCTATTCCTCCCACTGACACCAATGATGGGGGCACTATTCCTCCCACTGACACCAATGATGAGGCACGATTCTTCCCACTGGTGTTCCCACCCTCGGCTTATACTCGAGTCAATAGTTTTTCCCAGTTTTTTGTGGTAAAATGAGGTACGGCTTATATTCGGGTCGGCTTATACTCGAGTATATACGGTATTTGGCAAAAAAAGTAATCAGAGCACCTATTGGCACAAAAAACCTAGCCTCAAGATCTCTTCTTTTGAATGTGTGCCTCAGGACAGGGCACACCAAGGTAGTGTTGTAGGATAGAGATTTCAGACTACTTGTTTCAATAAGCAGATGGGCAAAGGGAGAGTCATGGTGCTGCATTTTTTCGTTATTTTCATTCCTTACATACAAGGGCAATATGATATAGGTGGAGATGCCAGGCAAAATCAAAAAAGCTCACACTACTGTGCATAAGTATTGTAACTGTCAATGTCTTTCTTAGTTAATCTTTGACTGAGTGGAAGCAGAGCACAGAACACAGTACGTAAATGTTCCTATAACCACTGCGACCACTGTTACGCCAAACTGCATGCCCTCTACTAGGTCATAAAAAAAGTACCCTGAGATAAGAAGCGCTGAGTGGCCAGTAATAGTTGGGGTGATATCTTGACTTTTTGTTCCAAGTCGCCACCCTTGAAAAATGATAGGTCCTCTCCTCCACGTGGTATTGGAATGGGATGCACTTTAGGATGCTTCTTCTTTATGGCTTGTTCTGAGAGAAAAGGTGAAATAAAAGATGTATCAGATGCAACAGCTATACATGCCCCATCACAATGTTTGGCCACACAAAAAACAGGTTTTGAACAGGATGTACAGGAATGAGAGCAACACAAAATAAGCACAGGGCCCCAAAATCTTAATTTCACATTATCTGACTGTCTAGTAAGCTGGACTAAAGCTTTCCATATAGGGGGAGGAGGTCTCCCCAAAAAACAGGTAGTGAAACATCTACCCGTTTTAAAACCTCTCAGCCAATGTGTGTTGGTAGCCTACATGCAGTGGATGCTCCCTTCTCCATATCAAATAGGTCAAACAGCACAAGTAGAAATTTGTGTATAGAATTGTGCCCTACTGTCAGTCACAAATGCTCATTATAACCTTTAAATCATATCTAAACCCTAACAATATATATATTGCAGCTTAGCAGCCCTTCGATGAGGAGGCATCATTAGTTTTCAGGCATTTTTCTTTTATTTTTACCTGGTAATCCTATGAATAAAGCACTTCCTATCCCTGGGTGTCTATTCTCGCTTCTCCACTGCATTATGGGAGCAAAGGTTGCCACCCATGCTGGACTACAACCATGTCTGTCTTTGTTCCTCTCCAGTTCATAGAGGATGAGATTAGTAGTTTATAACTAGTAGGTAGGTAGTATTAGTAGGTTAGAACAGAACAGATTAGGATGTTTAGTTTACTTATAAAATCATTTTACAGAACAATCCATGTGATACCCTGTGAAAAAGACACGATTTGTCTCCGAAACACTATAGTCAGGGTTGATATGTGCCTCTTGATGGTACTTAAAGCCACAGACATCACCACACCAGATTTGAGCATTCCAAGACACACATTGGCAGAGATGAAACTTTAATGTCTCACACCAGGCGAAAAAAAAGCCTTCTATAGACAATGGGTACATCTTCATGCGGGTCGAATTTCTGGCCTTGAGGAGCATAGGGATAACAAACTTGGTAGTCAACAGACATGCCGTCAAAGGCAGTGACCATAAAGCAGGATGGAAGACTGAACCCTGTGCCAGCATATCTGGCCGATCTGACAGAACCCACAGCATTTTTTCGTGATGGATTTGGCCTCACACACACATTGGATGTTTTGGTGATCTCTCCTGGCAGAGGTGTTTTGGCTGGTGTGGAAAGAGCCCATTCCTGGCTCAATGCATGCAGTCAGAGGAAAGAAGAAAAAAAGAAAATATCGACCCGTACCAATAAGATCCAAATGTACAATTAACAAATGAGGATTCATCCCAGCTCTGTTGACGACTTGCTACCAACATGTTTCGCCCCTCACTTGGGGCTTAGTCATGGGGGCAAGCACCAGGGTGAGGTGAAACATGTCAGTGCATGCCAGAAGCTTCTGATTAGACGGGTTTCCACTCCAGGAGAACAGGAAAAAAAAAATGGCAGATAAACACAATGACATCTCTCCAGTCTGCTCTTTTCAACATCACTACTGCAGTGCATCACTCTGCCTGTAAAAAAAAAAAAAAAAAAAAAAAAAAAAAAAAAAAAAAAAGCAATCTCCATAGTCCCAATGTACAAAGAACACTGCAAGGAATTAACTGCCACATTTTCCACCACAGAGGCACTCATCAGTCCATGCCACAGGGCCACCAGGCCCAATTATCACTCTTCATGGTGGACATGCTCTACAAGGCCTTCAGGGACTCTGCCCTAAATCTAAAGAAACTTTCCAACGAGGTCACCTGAAACGTGGTGCCCTGAAGATCTCTGCCTTGAATGCAGGATCCGGGTACATTCCCTCTTGGTCTCCAGGCCATAGAATGATAGGAATCTTTGTGATTTCCATTTTGCTTACAGAAGTGACAAGGACACTGCATTTCTGGTATTATCAAAAAGTATTTTCTATACTTGATAAAAAACATTTTCCCTACCCCAGCAATGGTGTTCAGAAATAGGGAACTAAAGCCCATGAAAAGAAAATCAGAAACACGAGTAGGCAGATATAGCACCTAAATGACGCTATCTAAAAACCGAGGCTTAGCTGAGCTGGGAAGGGTTATGCCTGGGCGCAAGAATCCTTACTTTTTTGTCGCCAGTTTTCACTTATTTGAAAGTGGCAGCATAACCCAAGCAGTCATGAATATGAAGCACCCTGTGCTGATGTACAATTAAGAAAACAACATTTTTGTGCTTCCAATATATATCAAAGACGTGACAAGGACACCATTTCTGGCAAATCATGTATTTACTTCACTTGCTGAAAATATTTAGGCTGAAAAATAAAAACCAATGGTGCCAACACATCCAAGGACTAGCACACTGCAACACAGGTTACAACATCTGGTTTTTGGGATTTATTATTCCTTGGCCCTACACAGACCAGTCACTGCAAGCGATGTTTGAAATACGACTACTGCTAGCATGGAAAAAGCTCAGCAGAGAATCCTTACAATCCCTGTAACAACGCAAAAGACTAAAGAACTTTTAGGTAGTTTAGAAGGTAGCAAGTGACAAAGTATGTTTGCAAACAATCTTTAATCATCATTGACTAACATGCTGCCTGTGTGTCCAATTGTCGAAGGATAAGTTCACCTTTAAAAAAATAAATAAAGTACATCTTTTTGCAGGTAAAATAAATGTGCTTTTTATGGTTATTATTAGGAGCCTGGAAAGCATTGTGACCGCAATCAGGAGAACATGGGTACAATGCAGGACTCTTACAGACTGTCAGTGTGTAACTGCCTGCAGCAGCTTACACTGACAGGAAAAATCAGTGAACTACCTAGAGGTCTCAACAGAGCCCTTGCAGTTCACAGAACTACAAGCCGATAGCCGCAAAGGCTGTTTCTGAATGTATGACATGGCCTTGCACAGCTGTGCTCTTTTTAAATCGTGGCAGCAGGTAAGTGGAGAAGATCCTCGACCTGCTGTCACAGGGAGTGTGGGGATTGGCTGTAAGGGGGTGGAACATGTAAAAAATTCCCAAAGCCGAACATATCCTTTAAAATGATTCTAAATGCCTATGATTTTTACTTTGGCTCCATTCACACCTATGCAACTTTTGATATCAAAGTTGCATGACAAGTCGCAGTCCATTCTTTTCAGTGGCACCTGTTGAAATCGTTGCGACTTAAAAAAAAAGGTGCCTGCACTACTTTGCAGCAACTTTGATCCAGAGTGTAAAGTCGGATCAAAGTTGCACTCAAAGTCATGCTCCAAAGTCACACTGGAAATCAGGCAACTTGAGTCGCACATGTGAAAAGGATTCTTAATGCATTCTCTGCATTAAAGTAAAAAACTTTCTGTGACACAGGATCCCCCCAGCCTCCCCCCTATACTTACCTGAGCCTGATCTTGATTGAGTGCTGTGCCCGAGAGCAGCAGTTCTCTCGCTCTTCATAGGGCAGATTGTGAGTGGCATGAGTGCCCCCCTATAAAGCGGCTTCCTAGGGGGGCACTCACCAAAGAGGAGGAGCCTGGAGCACTAGCAGAGGATGCCAGAACAGGAGGATCAGGGCTGTTCTGTGCAATATCAATGTACAGAGCAGGCAAGTATAACAGGTTTATTATTTAACAAAAAAAAAAAAAAAAAAATCAAGGTTTATAATCACATTTATTATACAGAAGCATCAAAGTGATCTTCTCATTGTGTTTCTAATAACTTGCCTCAGTGTTCATTCACCTAAGATATGTCCGATTGCCACTACAACAAGTTCTGGTAAAAGTACCATTTTGGCACGGATGGGATTCTTTTAGCAACGTGTAGTATGAAATAAGGTTGTATTAAATAATTTGTAGTTAGGGTGGTACAAATATATGCAATATATGAGTGGGTACTGGGGGAAAAAAAAAAAAAAAAAAAAGTTTTAGTTGGGTTGAAAAGATAGGTTTATTCTTCACTGTATTACACTAGTCACCCCTTGTTCACTAAATGGTGTATGTGTACATCAGGGAAAAGAAACGGTAAGATGTGCTTTGACTCAGCTGCATCCTTCTTCAGCTCCTCCCTCCCCATTACCAATACAGAGTCATCGACTTACTGTAATCCTCCGATTCATCCAATATCTCCGATTTTATAATCTCCTCAATAACATCCTCCAATGTGACTAGCCCCATCACCTCGTAGAATGGATCGCCTTCTCCTTCATTGTTCACTTTCTGGACCATAGCCATGTGAGACTTACCTGCAGAGAAGCGACAGACATACAGACAGCGGCAGGATGTGAAATAGAGAATGGGCCAAATACAAATTTTCATTACATGCAATGATGAGGAATACAACATGATTTTATATATATATATATATATATATATATATATATATATATATATATATATAAAAAAAACATACACATTATGGAACGCTTCAGCTTCACGTCACACTGATATATATGCACCGGAAGAATCACTGCCACATACCTTATAAAGGGATGACTATTATAATGGAATAGTTTTCATGTCAGTTAGGATATTTGATTCTATGAACGCTATTCCACGATCCATCACACTTCATGTAAAGCAGTATTTCCTTGCACTCTTTAGAGGCTGCAATTATCTTCGGAGCATGATCTACCCCTAACCAACACATTCCCTTACATTTTGCAAATTTTGGGAAAAAACAGCACATAGAGACTTGTATGTGCAAAAGCACAAATAAACACATACTGCTCTGGCATAGCCAGGGCCTTCTCACCCTTTTTAAACTCCTCCAGCACAGCGTCCAACTTGGTGTCACTAAACACAAAGTGGACAGGGTGACTGTAGAAGCGGGTAATGGTGCTCAGAGGGGTGCAGTCATCTGGATCCACATATGCCAAGTCTTTCAGATAAAGGATGTCCACAATGTTGGTCCGCTCGTTTTCATAGACGGGTATACGGGTGTAGCCACTCTCCATGATGCTAGACATGGTGCTGAAATCCAAGAGGGCATCGCTGGCCAGCATGAAGCAGTCATTCACAGGCGTTAAGATATCTTCCACCGTCCTGTTTCTTAAAGCTCCCTTGCTGAATTCGTCCCTCACCAACTCACTGTAGGGATCCCCACACCTGGCCATCTCTAGGATCCGTAGTCTCATGTAGCAGCAGCTTGGGTCCTGGCCAATCATCTTCTCCAGAAGCCAGGACAAGGGAAATGCAATGGGCCCAGGAAGAAGCAAAAAAAAGTGGGTGAGCCAAAGGCACTTGGATGCCAGCCAAGGACCCCAGCGGGAACTGATGGCAGCTGGTAGAGCTTCTCCAGCCAACCAGAGCACTCCAGCTGCTGAAAAGATGGCACCAGCTATGGAGCCAATGACCTGATACAGCAAGACAGCTACAGCCGCGTTGGTGATACAGCACAGGGCCAGCAGGGAAATCAGCGTATAACCTCCCCAGCGAGTCCTTAAGTAGTCCAGCCGAGTAGCACCCAATCTTTCAGAGGGGGAACCCCAGTCTCTAAGAATACCAAGTTCTGGTGGCTCCAGGATAAGGGTGCTTAACTGCAGACCTCGGAGAAGGCCGGACAGCAGCACGCACAAGACGATTAGAAAAGCCAGGAGCCAGGTCGCCAAATATTCATTGGTGGAGCTATCGATGTCCTGACTCTTGGCCACAAACTGGTCACATGGCCCCTGTTCTCCCCCATATGACTTCTCCCCATCCCCCAACACTGCAAACAGCATGTCCCCCCCTGAATAAAGGACCCAATCGCCCCCTTGGAGAATACACAAGGGGTACAGGAGGCCTTTCTGCACCGTGACCCCTTCCTGAACCTGGACAGCAACCAGGCATGACTGCTCACCGCAGTCCAGGAACTTCTGGAGCACCTGCAAGGGTGTATCTGGGGGGCGGAAGTGCAGCTTTGTCCCCCAGGGGCCCCAATAGAAAGCCAGGGCCAGGTACTATTACTAAGACCCAAGCCATAGAGGCGGAGGAAGAACACAGAACCGGGACGAGCACTGATTATCCCTCCGCTCATAGATACTCCACTTCCATTCTCCAGACGCACCCCCAGCACCTGAGCCTGCTCGCTGCCCTCACCCACCACCCGCGTTGCCCCCAGCCCGGCCACAAACAGCAGCCGCACAGCAGCAACGGCGGCGGCCATGTTAGTGGAGGGAAGGCTGAGCACGCCCACTACTCCCACTGTCCCCAATGTGCTGCCACGGCTTGAAAGACAACGTAGCAAATGAGGAACGCGCCAATAAACACCGGCCAATAGGAAACGGGAGGTGCGCCCGAAGGGTGGGGCTGGGGCCGAGCAGCTGTAAACAAGGAAGGGAGCCAAGCGCGAGCTAACCCCTTCATTGCCAGCAGATCGCGACTGCAAACAATGAAGGGATGGAATGCAGCAAAACACAGGCGCCTTTATATCCTCTCTATTAATATCAGGCACATGCAGTACCCACCGAACCATGCCAGGAACACCCGCGATGTGCTCTCTATAGACAGTGCTACATGGCACACCTGGGACAGATATTCACATTCAAGGAATTCCAGTACAACAAGCAGATTTCAAGGCCACACAGATGTCAATGGAAATAGATACTCTAAAAGCTACCATAGCACACACCAAAAAGGTTTACTGGTACAAAAAAAAAAAAAAAACAACCCTTTCAGTGTTTAGCACTTCTCTGAAAATAGGTTCACTGTGTTCTATGGAACAAGAGCAAAAGCAGACATCTTCTGGTGTCCACTCTTAACCACTTACCTACCAGGCACTGTACCCCCTTCCTGCCCAGACCAATTTTCAGCTTTCAGCGCTCTCATACTTTGAATGACAATTGTGCAGTCATGCAACACTGTACCTAAACTAAATGATAATTTTTTTAAACAAAGTGTTTAATCACCACTGGGGTTATTTTTTGCTAAAAAAAAAAAAAAAAAGATTTTGAAAAAAAAAAAAAATTCATAGTTTCTGTTATAAAGTTTTGTAAATAAGTAATTTTTCTCCAGCACTGATAGGCTGCACTGATGGGCATTGCTAGATGGCACGGATGGCCAGCACACATGGACACTGATGGGCACTATTGGCCGCACTGATGGGGCTACACTGATGATCAGTGCCCTGATGATCAGTGTAGATGTCCCCCTGCGAAATGCCGCTTACCAACTCTACTCTCCTAATGCGCTGTCAGCGTGAGGAGAGGACTGCCAATAACTGGCATTTCCTCTTTTACCATGTGACCAGCTGTGTCCAATCACAGCTGATAACAGGGTAAAGTGGCTATGATTGGCCCGTTCCTTAGTCATGTGATCAACTGTGTTTGAAGGAAACAGCGATCACAGATGGCGCACAGGGGTATGGTTATGGAAGGAAGTCCATGGATGCCTTCCCAGAACTAGCCGACAGTGCTGTAGCCATCTTTTGGCTATAGCGCAGTCGAGAACTGGTTAAAGGGATAGTTCATCTTTTCCAAAAAACTGTCTATGAAGATAAGGGACATCTGTAGATAAACTCTGCAGCTCTGACCAAAGTTGAATAATGCCATTGCTATACGTGTAGGCCATTTACAAACCTCATGAAGCCTCTAGGAGTAGGCCATTTACATACCTCATGAAGCCAATTAGGTGTAGGACATTTACATACCTCATGAAGCCTATTAGGTGTAGGACATTTACATACCTCATGAAGCCTATTAGGTGTAGGTCATTTACATACCTCATGAAGCCTATAGATGTAGGCCATTTACATACCTCACGAAGCCTATTAGGTGTAGGTCATTTACATACCTCATGAAGCCTATAGATGTAGGCCATTTACATACCTCATGAAGCCTATTAGGTGTAGGTCATTTACATACCTCATGAAGCCTATAGATGTAGGCTATTTACATAATTCATGAAGCCTATTAGGTGTAGGTCATTTACATACCTCATGAAGCCTATAGGTGTAGTCCATTTACATACCTCATGAAGCCTATTAGGTGTAGGTCATTTACATACCTCATGAAGCCTATAGGTGTAGGCCATTTACATACCTCATGAAGCCTATAGGTGTAGGCCATTTACATACCTCATGAAGCCTATAGGTGTAGGCCATTTACATACCTCCTGATGCATGACTGGAATACTCCTAGGACATTGCCAAGCTGTTACTGCTCACCTCCACCATCACAGAAGTGAGCTGATTCAAACCCCCCTCACATGTGTTTTCTTCCCCTGATGCAGTAGCTGTGAGCTCAGTGTCTGAAAGCTCACTCCTGTGATGGTGGAGGTGAGCAGTAATGACCAGGCCTCACTTAGCAAAGTCCTGGGAGTATTCCAGTCAAGCTTCAGGAGGTATGTAATAGGCCTGCACCTATAACAAGGACAGGATTCAACTTTAGTCACTGTTTGTTTTTATCTGCAGACACCCCATATCTACATAGGCAGTTTGTTTGGTAATAAACAAACCCTTTAAGCCAACCATTCACTATACAAACCACTGTACACTCTTCACATTTATCAAAACTATGAAATAGGCCACCCCTAAACAGCCTAGACAATTTGCATCAAATCTGGTAGTCCCTTGCACTATACAGTGGATGATAAATCTAGAGAAGATTGTACAGATTGTGGTGTGCCTTTACTTTACTAAACATAAGCTCAATTCATGCACGCCTTAACCTAAGAACAAGGCTTTCTAACATAGCCATATGACTGATCTTCAAGTGGCATTAGATTCTGAAAAAGAAGTCTCCATAGGCCTTGTTCACATGTGCACACTGCAGTGTACATCCAGGCGAGGGCCATTTTTGCCCACATAGGGGTATGCAGGTGTAATTCATCCCCATGCAGACAGTCCCATTGATGTCAGTTGAGATGCAGCAGCTGCATGGACACAGTTGCTGTTCCCAATTTGACAACCATGCAGTTGCACAGTTCCGAATGCAGACAGTGTGCCCATGAGTGCATCCGTGCAGCAGCTGTTCCTCAATTGACATCAATGGGATTGCCTGCAAGGAACACCTATCTACATTCCTGCATGGGTAAACACAGTCCTCGCAGGGATGTAAGCTGTAGTATGCCCATGTAAACAAAGCCATATTTGTATATGGAGCCTCAGTTACAATGGCCGTACTTGAGAACAGTACCAATATTGGGTACAATTTTAGTAAAACAAATAGCATTATAGAAATATTCTCACAAAGGGCCCACCTTACATATGGCTAGCTTTTATTTTCTATCCTAGACAAATTATTGTCAACAGAAGAATTAACTAATTGCCATGGACAACTGGGACACTTAGAAAAGTACAAGCACTCCTTTGGTGCAAATCTGCGTGTTTTTTTTCTCTTTTGCCCCAATAACATTAATGGGAGCGCCTGAAAGACATGCAAGCATACATT